AAGACATTTGGAACAACACTAGTGCCCAGAGCTGGAGGAGCCACGTGGAGACCCTTGCCAGTGCTGAGATGCTTACAACGCCACAGGATCCATAAGACTTCCCACCCATTGGCCTGTGGTCTTCCTGTATTCGGTGTCATTGCATGTGTTTTGTGAGTCTGAAGAGGACTTTATAGATTGGTATGGGACATATGGTCTAATATCGGACTTATGGACTTGATCTGGCCTGGGCTGGGACGTTTTCCTAATGTACAATTTTGTACCTACTTCACCTAAACTCGTGCTTATTTTGCAAAATGTGCATGTGCTTTTCTGAAATAGGTGCTCTCTTTGGGCAAAGACCTTGCCGTCTCTTTGGAACCTGTGGATTTGAAGATGGCCCCCTGCCCAATCATAACATGAGGGGCAGCAAAGAATACAAGACCCACCCAGAAATGGTTCTGAGGCAGAAGCGACTCAACTGTGGCAACAGGAGACCATGTTCAGAGGGAAGATCTGTCCACACTGTGATATAACCACCCCAAACTCTGTTTTTAGAATGAATTTCTTATTTCTGCCATCTTCTGGAATAAATTATTTTTCTGTCATCTACGGGAAAAAAAGAAAACAAAATCCTCCCAACGGGAACTACAGAAAAATCCCATGACAAACAGAGAAAAGGATGAAGTTGTCAGGGATTTCATTTTACTTGAATCTATACTGAAAACTCACCAAAGAAGCAGTCAGGAAATCAAATGTTGTATTGCATTAGGTAGATGTGCTACAAAAGACATTTTTTCAGTGGAGAGCAAATATTTTGAGAATGATGAGGGCAACGATTGTACAAATGTGCTTTACACAATGGATGGATGGATGGATTGTGATGAGTTGTATGAGCCCCCAATAAAATGATTTTTAAAACAGACATCTTTAAAGTGTTAAAAAGCAAAGTCACTTTGAAGACTAAGGTGCACCAAGCCATGACATTTTCAACTGCCTTGTACGCACGTGAAAACTGGACAGTGGATAAGGAAGACTGAAAGCCTGATGCATTTGAATTACGGCATTGATGAAGAATATGAAATAAGCCACAGAATGTCCAAAGAGCTAACCTGTCTTGTTAGGAGACATATACCAGAATGACCGCTAGAAGAGAGGATATTGAACCTTCCTCTCATGTTTTTGGGACCTGTTCATGCTTGGTATGAACCAAGCATGTCAGTGAAAATGAAGAAGATTCTCAATGAATTGGATTGACACCCTGGCTATATTTGTGTACTCAAACATAGAATAATTTTCAGAATGGTACAAGACTTGTTGTTGTTGTTGTTAGATGCCACTCAGTTGGCTCCGACTCATAACGAGCCTACGCACAAAAGAATAGAACACTGCACAGTCCTGTGCCATCCTTACAATTGTTCCTATGCCTGAGCCCACTGAAGCAGCCAATGTGTCAATCCATCTCATGGAGGGCCTTCCTCTTTTTAGCCACCCCTCTACTTTACCAAATGTGATGTCCTTCTCCTGGGACTGGAGAATGTATGTGAGAGGAAGTCTTGCCATCCTTGCCTCTAAGGAACACTCTGGCCTTACTTTTTGCAATACAGCTCTGTTTGTCCTTTTAGCAGTCCATGGTACTTTCAGTGTTCCTTGCCAGCACAATTCAAATGCATCAATTCCTCCATGGTCTTCCTTATTCGGTGTCCAACTTTCATACGCATATGGTGCAATAGATAATACCATGGTTTACGTCGGGGCACCTTAGTCCTAAAAATAACATCCTTACTCTTATTTAAAAAATCATTTTATTGGAGGCACATACAACTCATCACCATCCATCCATCCATCCATCCATCCATCCATCCATCCA